TGGCATCAACAGATTCAACCCCCCAGTCCAACCATGGATTCCTTTTTGGTCATCCAAACTGTAAAACTTGAGCTCAACTTAATTAACCCAATATAAACTCATAAGATTATCAAAATCTGAAACTTAAAGCTGACCTAATTATCTTTTCTCGTGGTTTATATGGTCAACCTCCACTGCAAAATCGTTGAACATTTCCACCTCTGCATTAATGGTGAAGTGTGGAAGTATTATACTTCACTTTTATTATTATTATTTTATTATTAAGAAAAGGTAATATTATAATTATAATTATATGTAAATTTATAAATTTACAAATTATATGAGACATTAGATTAATATAATATATGATATATCATTAAATTTATACATGCATTGAATCTAATAATATAATGATATATTATGTCATAAATTTATAATATAATGAGTTGCTATAATATTACATGTTATTCTAATTATATTATTTTTAATTAATAAATTCTTTTTTTGAATGAATTACAAATTGAGGTGGGGGAGTCGAATTTAGTTCAAGAAACTAAGTACATCTTTTAAAGATGATAAAGCCACTAAGTTGTCATGTGTAATTAATATTTTTTTTTTGGCAGAATACTCAAATTCACCCCCAAAGTATAGTGATAGGGACGGATCAACTTTCGAACAAAAAAGGGGGACAAATTCATCCATAAAGTTTTCAACTTAAACAAATCACCCTAAATTTAACGTGTGACATCATTTGACATCAGTAATCTGTTAATTTGACATCATCTGACATCAGCAATCTGTTAACGAATTAACGAATTGCTGATATCAAATGATGTCACATGTTAAATTTGAGGTAATTTGTCAAAATCAAAAACTTTGTGGGTGGATTTGTTCTCGTTTTTTTGTTCGAGGATAGATCCATCCCTACCACTATATTTTGGGGGTGGATTTGGGTATTTTACTTTTTTTTATAGTAATTTTTGGAGAGAGGAAGGATTGAATCTAACTCATGGGGTTGAATGATACACACCGTTATCAAGCGGCTTATAAAACAAGATGTGTAATAAATTTTTATTAAACGTTAACAGTTTTCGTACATATTTTAATAAAAATAATGATTATTAAGACAAATGTACTGTAAGATGAATTTATAGCGACCTTGATAATAGCGATTGCTTGCTCCATATGAACTAATTGAAACACGAAATAATCTCATTCCAAAATTTTGTCAAAAAATTTAGTTGCAAGAATTCGCTCGGGGTGAAATACTAACTGGATTAAAGCTCGAATTGTTTAAACCCTAGCCAGGCTTACGTCCAAACATGCCAAGACGAATTGGAATATACTAATTCAGATCCGATTAACCCGAAGTCCGAACCTGAACTAGAATTTCTAGAACTCGGTTGGAAGTTCCAAGTACCTGCTTACAAACAATTTCTCAACGACAACGGATTCCTCCTTTTCGACGACGGAAATGAGACCTAACATTGTTTCAGAGGTAAGTTCCGATCGGAAGTTCCTCCGATGCTTTCGTTCATTCTCTGTGTTTCTCTTAGGGTTTCGTGATGAGCTGCTGAAAATGGAAAATGAACCCTGTCTTTCTCGATCTCTTTTTACTTTTCCTGATTGGTTGCTGAGAAAGTGCGAGAAAACGAGTTGACTGAAAATGAGTTGACTGCTGGAAATTTTACTTAGTACAGACAACTATGGTCGCCTGTTTGATCTACGCATTTGACTATCTGTAATGAGGCTGATTTCTAGATATTGAATTGTAGCTTCAAAT